CCCTCTCGCGTGCCGCTGCCCGTGCCTGCCTCCGCCCGGCCCCCCCCCCCCTGGGCCCCGCGCCCCTGCGGGGGCGGCGCACGGAGCCCGCTGCGGGCCACTGTTAGGTCGGGCATGTCCTCCTTCGTGCGGATTTTGTTGTATGTATATGTATACGTCTATGTATATGTGTATAGGTATTCCGAGTCCTATATTTTTAGAAGCCCGGGAGGGTGGACCCCCCCCCTCCCCTCCCGAAACCGGACTCCCGCGATCTGGGGCTTTGGGACCTTCCGGACGGGCCTCGAAGCGGCCCCCCGGGCCTCGCAGGGCGTTTTGCCAAGCCTTCGCAGCACACCTAGGGCGATCAGGGGGGTCCTCGGAGACGTCCCAGAGACCCCCAAGACAACACAAGAGAGCTCCAAGAAGCCGTCATACCCCGAAAGATCGCTCCAAAACGTTCCGAGAGGCCTCCAAGAGTACCCCCAAGAAGGCCTCAAGAGGGACAAATCAGTTATTTCATGTAGGTTTTTGGTGAATTTGGGGTTCTCCTCTTTTCGGCTTCCCGACGCTCCAAGACGGCGGTCTTCTGGGCGTCCGAAGCCGCCTGTGAGGCTTCAAAATCGGCCCGCAACCATCCGAAAGGGCTTCCAGGCAGTCTAAGAGAGCCCCAAAACGGCACAACAGGGGTCCAAGATGGCCCTAAGAGAGCCCCATGGCGGCCCAATATGGCCCCAAGACGCCCTCCGAAGCATTCCAAATCGTGACCGGGCCGTTCAGGGAGACCGCAGTCAGAGGCAGTTGGCCTTAGGAAGCCCCAGAGGCCCCCAGAACACGCCAAGGAGGCCTCCAGAAGGTTTTAAGAAAGCCTGAGAACTTTGGTGAGGCCCCCAAAAGCTCTCCAAGGGGAAGCCTCCGCAAAAAGAGCTGAGGAGGATGGGGAGAATTCCCAGGGTATGGCGAGAATGAGGAACAATAATCATGGAGGAAGGATAACGAACAATATTATTATAACGGCGATGCCAGAAAAGGCAGCGAGGAGTTATCGCTAAATTGTCGGCTTGACCTTCCTGCCAT